GTGGACGCGCGCGAGGGCTCTCCCCGCGCTAGCCGCGGGGAGCGGGTCGGACTCCTCTGGTTGTTACGGATGAATGGAATCCGACAGGAGGCAGGTGTCTGGAGCTGGAACCTCGGCGGGGGAGGCACGGTCTAGGCCCCTGGTCAACCCTCTCTCCTCTTAGGGTAAAGAGGTCGCTGCATCAGAAGTGCTCCGATCCCTCCGCCCTGTGAGAGACGAGCAAACAGGTGGCCTCGCGGGGAAAGAGACTGGGTTAAGCCGTGGGTGAGGAAACCAACGCTTACGCTTTTAGGGCCAGAGAATATTATGACTTGAAACTCTTGGGTTCGTTAGTTTAAAATATGTGCAGCACACCTGCCACCTAGAAGAACCCTCTGCCCGCTTATGGGAGTCCTTCTATCTAGGAAGATGGCACTTGTGGTGGCCAAAACTTCGACCCTGGAGAAATTGATTTGCAAGCAAAGCTAAGCTCCTTTCTCTTGACGTTGATACAAATTGTGAAACGTTATTGATCAAATGGACCCTTAACCAGTGACATCTGCTTTCCGGTTTAAGATTTAAAAATGAACTTTTTCCTCACTGAGGGATTATTTCATAATGCCAAAGGTGAGTTTTAAAACACGTATCAAATTATCTTATGATTTGCTCCAGAGAGTTTCTAATGATGATTTTTTGACATATAGACAAGTATTAAAAGGCTTAGAGATCAGACATGCCAGGAGGGAAGTCCCTGGAATTATTCTATACTAATAAAGTAGCTCAATCCTCATAATTAGTAATTCGTATTTACTGGATGTCTGTTCCAGGCATAACCCTGTTCTAAATATTAAGGAAATGTTGGAATGTTGGCCTCCTACACATCTTTAGGCTAAAAAAGAATATTTGTATAAGTGAGTTTTTAAAAGATAGTGAATTAATTTCTATATACATTAAATACAAAATTATGTAAATCAAGAAATATGAACATTCTCTGGAAAGCTTCTTTGTCACTCTCCTAATATTTATGTGAGTTTTTCCCTATTGGCAAGATCTTGCAACATTTTTTCGCTTCAACTGCACTGCCCACTGTTTCAAGCATAGTTGGAGACAATGTGAAAGCATGGCCTTATATTTAACAAATGAAAATAAGATACCAAGTGAGATACTTTAAAAACCAAAGAGTAATATAAGATATATCCACACAAAAATTTGTACATAAATGTTCATAGTACCATTATTCATAATAGCCAAAAAGTGGAAACAATGTAAGTGTCCATCAACTGATGAATGGATAAACAAGGTGTGATATATACATATACTGGGATATTATTCAGCCATAAAAATTGTTATATCTTATAACATGGATGAACCTTGAAAACATTATACTAAGAAGAAAAGGCCAAAGCAAAAGTCTACATATCATGTGATTCTATTATATGAAATGTTCAGAACAAGCAAATGAATAGAAACAGAAAGTAGATTAGTGGTTGCCAGAGCCTCAGGTAAAAGGGGACTAGGGAGTGGCACTGATAGGTATGGGTTTCTTTTTGGGGTGACGAAAGATTTTCTGGAATTAGTGGTGGTGATTGTACAACTTTGTGAATATACTAAAAGCCACTGAACTGTATGCTTTAAAAAGATTAATTTTATGGTGTATGAATTATCTCAATAAAAAAGTATTTCTCGGGAGGAGTACAGTTTGCAATACACACACACACACACACACATATAGTCTTCTAGAACAATATGTTGTAGAAAAATTTGAGACAATATTTAACACCAAAATGGATAAACTCCAAAGATAAAGACAGCTTCAAGAATAGAGTTTTTCAAGCATCCAGGCAAAAACAAAACAACAAATTGCCTAAAAGGGTTTGGGAGTAAGGACATAGCCTCCAATTTTTCCATAGCAACATCCATTGCCCCCTCCTAAAAGGCAGGAGACTACTTTATACTTTTAAGGAAAGTAAATTTTACCCATTCACAAAAGCATTCAAGTATAAGAATATACTATCTCAAACATGTATGAACTTAGAAAACAAAACTACTATAAGTCCTTATTGAGAAAACCTCTTGACATGAGAGGCTGCTAATTAAGAGATAACCAAAATAAAGACTTAAGAATGAAGAATTTTAAATATTTAAATATAGAAATAATACTAAGTATAAAGCCAATAGTAAATAACTTTGAGAATCATTCTTACAAAACAGAACATAAACAGTATTAACCTGGACAATATAAAAATAATAATACAATTAAGCAAAAGTAAGAACTGGGGAGAAGGAGATGGGCAGTCTTCACCTTTCATAAAAAGGAATCAATAATATTTAAACTGAAACGTAGTAGTGGAAAAAATCAAACAACAATTCAAACCTCTTCATGGTTTTCATAATTGCTTTTATTTTAACTTCAGATAGATTGTTAAAAAATATATTATTGGTGTCAACTTGACTTGTCTAAGGGATGACCAGATATCTGGTAAACATTATTTCTAGGTGAGTCTCTGAGAGTGTTTCTGGAAGAGCTTGGCATTTGAACTGGTGAATTGGGTAAAGAACACTGCCCTCCCCAATACAGATGGGCATCATCCAATCCATCGAGGGCCTGACTAGAACAAAAAAGCAGAGGAAGGGCTTATTCCCTCTCCCATCTGCTTGAGCTGAGACAGCCATCTTCTCCTGCCGTCTGACATCAGACATCCAGTTCCTGGTTCTCAGACTTTCTGACTCCAGTCAGTACTTATACCATCAGCCCATCCCACTTTCTGCCCCCTACCTTCTTCTCAGGCCTTCGGACTCAGACTGAATTACATCATGGCTTTCTTGGTTCTCCAGCTTGCAGATGGCAAATGTTAAGATTTCTCAGCCTCCATAACCACGTGATCCAATTCCTAAGTTAAATCTCTCCATATATATCTATACAGAGTCAGCCCTCTATATCCACAGACCCCTCATCTGCGGATTCAACCAACTGCAGATCAAAAATATTGAGGGAAAAAAAGTTTATGTTGTTGCTGAAGTGTACCATGTAGTTAGGCCTACAACGGTTGCCTCTGCACAGACTTTTTTTCTGGTCATTATTTTCTAAATGATACAGTATAACAACTACATAACATAATTTATAGAGCATTTACATTGCATTAGGTATTGCAAGTAACCTAGAGATGATTTAAAGTATATAGGCGGATGTGTGTAGGTTATATACAAAAACTATACCATTTTATATAAGGGCCTTGAGCATCTGCGATTTTGGTATCCTCAGGGATCCTGGACCCAATCCCCCCTGGATACGGAGGGACAACTGTGTATCCTATGGGTTCTGTTTCTCTGAGTAATACAGATTTTTCAAAATCAACCCTTCAGATCCCTTTTCTTCTATTAAGTTCAAATAAAATCAATGTGTTTCTACTAAAAATAGCATTTCTATTATGATGCTATTTGGCAAAGGGTTTCAACCAGCGTTTAGTGAAGAACTGGAATTTCGTATTAGAATGCCACTACATAGTAACCAATCCAATAAACTGTATGTGATTCTCATTCTATAGGGTAGATTCAGTTATAACTCCCATTAAAGCTCCAAGTATGGAATAAACCACATGAAACTCCAACAGAAGATTGAATAATGATACCTAGTGTCTGCAGTCAGGTAAATGCCACTCTGAGAAGGCTTTTTTAGCCATCGTTGTTCTTTGGGTGTGCTACATGTTAATTTAAGCACAAGAAATATAATCAGGGCAATATTCCAAGTTCTAGTTTCTAGGTTAGCTATAAAAACAAAGTCAAGCAACATATACTCTCACCACCCTAAATTGTGCTAAGAATGCAGAATTCATAGGGAGAGCTAGATGTGATGCATTCTTCACTCTCCTTGGTGATGGGTTTTGGGAGTAGGGCTGTGGTCCTGGGATCCCTTCCTTTAGTTACTGCCCTGGCTCAGGACCACCTGCACTCCCACTGTAAAATGCAGCAAGCCCCTTCCATCCACGTTCCACCTAACCTTGTACCTCTAGGATTTTAGTCAACTCCTGAGCCAGGTGTATGTTGAGAAGACCCTTTTCAGTCTATAACCTACAATGTGCAAAATATTCGTGGTCTTAGATATTAACAAAAATTGTTTACAATCTGGTCTAGCAGAGTTCATAAACTTCAGAAAGTGGTTCCATTGGCATGGAGGAGGACTGGCCCCATGATGCTATCAAAACCAAGTGTCATTCATTCATTCATCCATTCATTCATTCAACACATGTTTAGTGAACACCTACTATGTGCCAGGTCCATGCAAGTCACAAGGAATACAACAGTGAACAAAAGAAACAAAACTCCCTGCCTTCAAGGAGCTTACATTCATTCATTCAACAAGTTCTTTGATATTTCTAACTCTAAGGTATATGTGCTGCTTTTTATTATTAATTTTGGAAAAATTCTGGAGACTTTATTGCCACTTAAAAAGCAAACTAGGTAAGCTCACGCATTAGAAAAAATAAGGGCCATGTCATATAGTAAATAAGGAACAACCTGTGGTGTCACACTCTATTCATGCACTGGCTCCCTTATCAACATGGTGACCATGGGCAAGTTTCCTGACTACCTTAAGCCTCAGTTTCCTCATCTGTAAAATGAGTATTATAACAATAGGATCTTCCTCATAAGCTTGTTGTGAGGGCTTAAGATAATCTATGTAGAGAGCTTTGCAACTAGACATAAAAATTGAGCAATAAATGTGAGCTGTTAATAATAGCAAAGGTGTTTATAATACAAAAAGAATATTTTAATTATAGAAAGAACTCTCG